TCTGATTCCCTGACAGATTAGCCAGAGAAGCACAGCTTTCCATGGCCTGGGGACCACGACAGGCTGTGCTGGGCTAGAAGACACGATGCTCAAGGGCTCCTCACGCTGTGCCCCGTCTCCCCTCACTGCCTCTGGACCAGCAACTGGCCAAGTTCCGCAGACCCGGTGGGGGCAGTCCCAGAGCAGCCAGAGGAGGAACGGCTTGTTCATCAGAATCCCCCTCTGTGTTCAAGAATGGGTTTCATGGACGAGGGTGGGAGGGGCGCACGTATGGCTGGATGGGAGGGTCTGGGATGTGATGGTGCTCCCATCTCAGGATTAACATCTTGGTGCGCAGAGCCGGCCCTTAGTCTGTGCAGGGATGGCTCCTCAGGCTGGGCAGCCTGGGCAGAGTGGGGAGGAAGGGAGGTGGGAGGGTTGGAATGGACACCAGCTGGAGACCTGGAGACACTCCTTTCTCTAAAGCAGCTAGAATGCCCCGATGAGGGGCATCAACGTCACTAAGAGGACGTTCTGACAGGCAGTGGCCGGGAGGGGCGCCAAGTGACCAGGTGGAGCTAGCATAGCAGCCATCCAGCCCACAGGGATGGGTGCATTTGGGACGTGGCATGAGCAGGTCCCGAGGCACAGTAAGCTACTGACACAAATGACCCAGTCCTCCAAGTCCCCTGCCCCCGCTGGCTGGACTCCCAACATTCCTCAGCTCACACCTGCGACATCGCGGAACGTTTACTATGACCAGCTGGTAGAGAGAGAACGGGCCTGCTTTACGAATGGGTCTGGTTGATAATTTAGTATGAACCGAAAATGGACTGCTGCCACATGACAGCCCAACTCTGGGGCGGGATAAAGGACCGCGGTGAGGACTGCTGGCAGAGCTTTGAGCCTTTCATGGTCATCTCCTTTGCGCTCAGACGCTTGGACAGGGTGGGGTGGCTGGCTCCTCGTCTGGGTGCCCAGAAGGGGCAAGGTGGGACAAGTGGTGGCAAGGAGGTGGGGAGGGGTCTGTGGAGGGACCTGTGGGCGCAGACACAGGCCTGTGGGTCTTGAGCCCCATGTCCCTCCCCAGAGAGCATCACTGAGGCAGAGGCGCTCAGCAACCAGGCGCAGAGATGGTGTCTGTAGCCGAGGGCAGCCAGCCCAGGCTTTGCCTGCCACTCCAGTGCCCTGCACAACAGGCCATGGACAGCACAGTCCTGATGGCAGGGATGGAGGTGTCCAAGAGATGGAGGGGGGCAAGAGCTACAGCCACCGACTTCGCTACCCACAGCAGAGAATGATTCTGCCCGCTGATGTGGTAACACCAGCCACTTGGCGGCAAGTTGATCACATCCAAGTCCTGCAGTCCTGGAGGGAGAGGCGATTCCTCTCACTGGATGGATACATGCAGAGGCCAGGGAGGGGGTGACTTCCTGCAGGGTTAGGGACTGTCCTTCAAGACAGCATATACGTTGAACCAGTGGCTGTTATATGGTGTCGTTCCCCTGGTAGCTACAAGGCAGCATCCAGGCAGCAACGGGGAGAAAGAGCATTGGCCCTCTTACCATCTCTCCCAGGGGTCCACGTGGGGGATCTCCTGCTCTCTCGACTTTAGGCTCTGCTGAATTAGAGGTCATTGCCCCCGGAGGAGACCCTCAACCACAGGAGACGGGAGTCAGGGGATAACTCTTAGCCTGTTGGTCCTCCGGTTAGAAGACACTGAGACCTGTTCCTCTTTGCTTCTCCAGGCTCCCCGGGGGAACAGAGCCCCTTCTCCCCCTGGTCTCTGGGGGAACGGGGCGCACTTACACATCTTTGATTCACTTTTTTCCCTCCTCCCCGTTCACTTTCTCCCTTTCTTCGTTTATCCTTCCCGGGATGGCTTCCCGAATAAACTACTTGCACCCAAGTTGTTGGCTCAGGATCTGCTTCTGGGGGAACCTAAACTAGGGTAAGTGTCTCAGTGACATTATGTTTCATAATATACTATATTGGTAAAGTGTCTTCCGATCTTGAGTAATTTTTCAGCCATACATGTTTATTAACTATTTTTTTCTGCCCTGCATCTTTAATTTTTAGCAGTTGACCATATTTATGCCAAATAAATAGGACACTGATAAAATGAGTGCCTTTGATAACACACAGTAGATACAATGAGCTTCATAGAACTGCTTCTTACAGCATTTTTCAATCTAGATCATAGTCCAGTCAATAAAAGCAATTCTACAGGGAGAGATTGCTACGCACTGCTAGGTAAATAGCCATCTGCCTGCCTGGCTTCAGGTTGGGGTAGATTTCAACGTTTTTGTAACACCATCCCCAAGCACCAATAAGCTGACAAATAGAGTCAGCACAGCTCGGCTGAGCTTTGGGTGACTACTGGTTTGTGGCTGTTTGTGGGTGCACCGCAATGACGACTGGGAGGTGGCTCTCAGGCATTGCCAGGCAGCCGAGCTGGGCGTGAAGCTGAGGTCCTCTCGTGAGATGTCAGGGAACTGAAGGGCACATGCTCTTCAGAGGTGGGTCAAAGGGCATCCACAGGCAGGGCCCAAGTCTTCCGCCAACAACAATCCTAACCGGCTCCAACCAACAGAACAACAAGTTCTCCTCTGTAACACACGTCCTCTGTAATAGGAACTTGGAAAAATGTTAAGTGTAACCAAATGCCCACCTTGGATGCTAAAACAGCTCAGTTAAACACCAAAAAACACCTAGTTTTGAACAGTGTTACTTTCTAGAATCCCTTCCAAATAAACTTTCCTGAAATTAATGTACATCCGAGGTAAAAGAATGCCACTAACAGCTCTGAAGCATTTAAACGCCCAGGGACTTCTGAGACCAGTTCTGGCAGGTGGCCCGTGGGTCTCCCTTCTGACAGTAATTGGCGCCAGTTTCACTGGTGACCTAAGGCCACGCCCCAGAGTTGCCTTTCTGTACCACCATTTGATTGAGTCAAGTTGAATCTTACCCTTGTTTACCAGATTACAAGCACCAGATCTAACGTAATGGAATCTGAAATGACTGTACTCTAAATTACGTCTCCAAATGAGCAGTACTAAGAGTAAACAGGCATCTCTCAAGAGTGGAGAACTACTCAGGTCAACACCCTTCCATTGATAGAGTCTTTGGGCACAAAATTTGATGGAGCTGTTAATTGCCGTTTCCTAAAAGTCGTGTAGGGAAGTGGTCTAGAAAACGTGTGCGGTGTGTGGGTCCTGGAGGCTCAGAGCCCAGGTTTGAGGCCATCTCCACCACTCGTTGGATGTGTGACCAGTAAAATAGGGACAATGAGAGAAACTCCACAAGGCTGTAGTAACGATGGTGTGACATAATGCGGGGGGGGGGGCGGCGGGGGAGCACTGGGCAGACACACAGGGAGCTCAGGAAGTGGCGGCTGTGACCACCGAGTAGGGGGCCCTCAAAATCCAGAATTCATACTGCTCTTTGAATTACTTTGTGTTTGCATTTGGAAAGAAAATTTAAGGCTAACTCCAAGCTGGAAATAAACGCAATAACGATTGCAATGGAAGTACTCCGGAAGAAGGCAGAGGAAGAGGAGAGTTAAGCCTCTGTTTTTAAAAGTCTTTCTGGCCTTTGTCACTAACTGGGTTGCTATATGTGTCTGGCACACAGTAAGCTCTCTGGAGGTGACCGTTAATACCGTCTGAAGCTGCCATGGGCAGTCCTAGCCAGCAAGCAGGGAAGGCACTCCTGGACTGTGGATGGAGTAAATGGACATACATGGACACCTTCACACCTGCTTCTTTCAAGAAGAGGCTCTTCTCCTTCCTTAGCCTTTACATGTGTCAATGTCATTCGTTGTTTGAAGAAGCAAGTTCCTTAAGTGACAGTTGGAGGGCTGAGTTCTTCAGGTTTGGCCCGAGTGCCTTCAAAGCCTTGTCTGCAACAGAGCATCTCTTGTCCAAGTGGGATCTGGCCAAATGGCCTGTTTGGACTGAGCTGTTCTCAGTCCTTGTTTCCCTATCATCTGCACAGACCCAGGTCAGGCTCTGCTCTTTTCTTGACCTTCCTCCCATAGTGTTAGAAACGTCACCAGCAACTTAAAACAGAGTCGCTCCAAGGTTTCTGGTCCTGGAGAGGGGCCAGCCGCGTCCCTGCCGCTGAGGTCACAGGCCTCCCAGCAGGGGGCACGCATGACACCGGCCGCACCGCGCTCCGGGGCCTCCATATCCCCAAGGATCGCAGCAGCGCCCAGAAAATCAATTCTTCCCCGAATTAGACCCATCTGGTTACAGATTTAATTATCATTTGTGTTCTGTAATTATTGGCTTGCAAGGTAGGGGGAGAGAAGCAAACATCTCGTTTTCAGCAACCCCCCAACCTCTTGAAATGAAACTGGCAAAAATAAAAAGAGCATTCTGGGAAGCATTTAATAATTTAAACATTCATGAATTGAGACTATAAATAAAGGGTTCCGAGTCCTCCGAGAGGGGAGAGGACGGCGGAAGGGAGAGGACAGCGAAAGGAGCCTGGCCGGGCTCTCGCCTCCGGAGGGGGCTGCGCGTGGGCTCCGCGGGGCGCAAACGGTTAAGAGCGCACGCGCCCCGCGGGTTGGGAGGCCCGGCCAGCCCTCCCCGGCCCGCGGGCTGTCGCCTTCTGGAGGTCACCGGGCCCTTGGGGCGGGGGCCCACAGCCGGCCTCGCAGGTGGGGGC